TAACTAGTACCTACGTTTGCTGCTACGGGGAATATAAAAAGTGTTTTTGATGTAGTGTAGGGGGAGAAAGTAAAAATATATGCACCCTTTTGGTAAACCTTATAACTTTGTAATGCTATTGAATATCATAGAACCAACTTGTTTGGTCTAATCAGCTGACAAAATTATTTAATTCCTTTTAAATGTGAATACCCATAAGGTTAACATGGGAAACCCCAGAGCCACTGGGGCGGAGCCTGAAAGGAGTTTTGAGATAACAATATGCCTATATGTAATCGGGAATTTGAGCTATATCATCACCCCAAATTTCAGCCCAATCCGACCAAGTAGTTTTCGCGTTTACTTGTCACAAACATCCATACATACATCCAAACTTTCTCATTATAATATTACTAGTTAACCGCCCGTGCTCTGCCACGGGAATATTGTCAGCAACAAAAGACATAATAATAATTAACAAATATTGTTTATCTTTGTATTTTAAATAGGGACTGCTTAATTTTTGTTTACATGAAGTGGACCGGATAGTTGGGCCTCTATAAACTATTTATGTTAATCAAACCGATTTATTAGTTTAAACAAAATGAATTTTTTAAATTCATTCGAGTTACATTTGAAAAATAAATACTGTAGTGTTCTTATGAAGGTTCCACTGTAGTGGATGAACTGCGCAATGCTGATAACCTAATTAAGCTACTTATGCTATGGAGATAATTTGTTCATGTATATTCCTACATTCGTTGTTTTCTTGTTCATTACATTCATTACATTCGTTGTGTGGAATAAAGATAGTCACTTAAATCATGCATCATCAGTTTGTTGGTCACATTTCACGGATCTTTGACCTATTCTGTGAGTAACAGCTGCATTTACAGGCTATAATATAAAGTTTGGCATACTTTGGTTCAATTAGAGGGTATTAACGGTCCAATCCGATGGTAAAAGGAGTCCCGGATCTTAAAATTATATAGACTACCAGAATGATGATTCATCTAAGTGAGACTTATAAACTCGCCATTGCAAATGCAGAGTTGTATGATCTTATATTATTAAAATAGTTTTTTGAAAGTTTTTTTTTTGTTTCTTTTGATACTTAATACTTTATATAGCCTACAGTATAGTCCATGTAGCCCCGTTGATAAGATTTTCTATGAACTCAGAATGTTGATAAGGAGCTAATTTTACCTTCCCCTTGTGACAACGTAAAGAGAATATACTTGTATCCCTGTTAGTCTGTTCTGACTCTAAATTCATAGATTTGCAGTAGTGACAAATCCAATTTAACGACCCCAATTCAAAAGAGTTGGTGTTTTTTAGGAACTTCCAGAGCACATGTAACCCATTTAACACCATCACTGTTATTTACTTTTTAGTTCCATGGCTCTGCACGTTTTTTTTCGATCTGGTTGTCTCTTTACGCACAGTTAATGACTTTTTTTATTTTTTGTACTTTTCACACCCTGGGTATTATGATAAAGTTGTATAACGCTGTTATGACCTGACCTGTGTCAATTTTGCCTGTAAACATCAAGTCACACACTTTTTCGCCAGAACCGAAATCGTAAGTCATAGTTTCTCAAGCAACTTCCCTGTGTACTTAATAGTTAGGTTATAGCTCACTGATAAATTGTAGTTCCACATATCCAGAGTACTCGGACTCGCAATAAGGTAAAGTTTGGTACTACTGAACGTCAAACACTGATCTTGAGTAAGATTCATCACCTACGATAAAATGTTTGTATGTTTCCCACTCATTAGCAATTATCTGCACAACTTGCAAGTGGATTTCCCCATGATTGTTCTGGTGGAATAAATGATTTTGATTGGAACAAACAGTTTCCGTCCCCTACTATCGGTATTATTTCATGTTTCATACTATAACTTAAACCCAATTACCACTTTCCTTTGGATCATTTTGCATGAAAAGTAACACATTTTTTGAAAATACAAAATTGATATTGTAGTTCCACGTATTCCTAATCGCCATCTCAAGAAAGTAAGGTTTGGTACTGCCCAAATACTGATTTTGAGTAAGATTAATCACCTATGATAAATGTTTGTATGTTTCCCACACATTAGCAGTTTTCTGTACAACCTGCAAGCGGATTTTTCTATGATTGTTCTGGTGGCCGTAGAGAATAAATTATATTGATTGGAATAGACGGTTTGCGTTTCCCACTATGGGTATTATTTCACGTTCCATACTCAAACCTAAACTCAATTAGCACTTTCTTTCAAATCAGTTTGCAGGAATACTAATACATTATTCGAAAATAGAAAATTTACACCAACACATAGGCTATAAAAAATGTTTAAATAACACATTGTGGTATAATAAGTTAACAAATACACTTTTCCTTGTTCGAAATCGTGTCTGTTTTTAACAGGAACTCCTAGATTAATAATTACATACTGAAAGTGAGGTTATAAAAATAATAACAAATGTCTGACAAACATTAAACAGCTGACAATAATTTATAAGATGTGACAAATCATTCTTATTCTTCAATAAGAATTGTATTGACTCGACCTTTGAAAGGCCGTAGATCTTAGCCCTTAGAAAAAACGTAAATTCTAAGGAAGTTCAGCAAATCTACGCATTATCCTCTTTATTTTGAGACATACATCTTGTAGATCGGTCCAGTAATGACTGAGGAAACAGACTTACAACTTTGTATTAAATATATAGAAAGATCCACAGAAAGAGAAAAATTGAATGAACAATTCCAAGATACACATAGTAATTAGATTTAAAAAGTAATATGTCCCTTCACATTGCCAAATGCAAGGTGCAAAGCCATTCCAAACTAACCCTCCTCTATCCATGTAACTATACTGGACCAGGAAGTAGCATCACAGGGCAATCACTCTGCACCACAACAACTATAGGGGATTGATGGATTGTGTCTTATTGCAATCTGTCATAATTACTTGAATGGGCAAAGTCAACTTTCCTTGCTGAGCTATATGGAAGGTATTTGATTTGATTTTGGGTCACTATCAGTATACTGTTTTGGTCTTGGTTAGATTACCAGAGTGATGTCTATGGAGATAAAAAGCAAGGATACAACAGCAAACAAGTGTCCTTACTCAGTGTAAGACAGTTATTTATCAAATTTCTTTCAATTCATGTTTTCAAGAACTTCGATTCTATTTTTAACCAAACATCACATTCTTATAATACCCGATATGCACAGAATGTCGGAATAACTACCTCTCATTTAGCCAAGTCTTACTCATTAACAAATTCGTCTTACATTTCTGAAGTTTTATATCGTAATGTTATCTCCCGTTGTAATTCTTATCATTTGTTTCATTCTCCATCGATTACTATTTTCAAAAAATGCATCACTGGCTGTCTGATAGAGTGGGGTGTAGATGAATCAGAACTCCTAATCAAAGCAGAGTACAGACAGACTTGACCCTACTTTATTCTCTCGTAATCTTTACTGAATAACTGAATTACTAACATCGAACATTCTTAACTATATTTATGTATGTACCCTCCGCCTTGCCTCATTCCTCAAATTGCTCATTTCACTTATTTAGCCTCAGAATAGTTTTGCAATTATATTAAATTATTTGTTTTTAAAAATTCTCTGAATATTTATGAATAGTATTTTTCCAACAAATACGTAAGTCACTGATAGCGACTGAGCCTACGCACAGGCTTCCAGCCCATGTAGGCTTATTTCCATAATGTATTATGTTTAACATGGCTTCTCTGGGACCTTACATCCTTTGTTGTTATTTTTAAGTTTATATGTATTTTTATATTTAATTATTTTTATCTATGCAATAGCAAGTAGGGTGTCTGTTCACTGGAAGTTATGTTATAATTTATATTCGGCACATTTTTGGAAATAAAGTATGTTTTGATTTGTTTTGATTTGAGTGTATATAAATTTACTCAACTTGAAATTACCTTCTTTCATAGGTTGCTGAGTAGATAAGACTATACTTGTTGGATTGGGAAAGGGAAAAATTATTTAAATGATAAAAAAGACACCATGTTAACATGAACAAGAAAAACAATGTAATGAAAAAGTAAACAGAAAAATAAAATAACATATGATAAATATACACATGTTAAATGCATATCAAGGGGAAAAAGTCTTCAACATACTGCCCGCCTTTAAAGCAACGATGGGCTTTAACAAAGAACCCACAGTAGTCGATTCCTGTAGAGAGAAATGGTCGAGCAGGAGTGATTCGAGAGGAGGGTAGATCACCCATTAGCAGGGAGTTGTTGTATGGTTTATTTTGCAAACATGTAGGAACACACTTGAATATACGTGAGCGAGCAACGCTACGTGCACAAAGAATCCAGACGAATTGAGTGATCAGAGCTTGAGAGAGTTGAGGTCCAGAGTGGAGATTAAGGTTGTAAGTGAAGTAGTCAGAATGGGAAGACCAATGTAGGCCAAGTATTGTGAAGTGTGGCTGTTCAGAATCTTGGAGAAAGACAGGAGACTCAAGATGTTCCTTGGGAAAAGCTTGTAGAAGAATATCAGGGTTGGAGACCCATTTACGTAATTCAAATCCTCCTTATTGTAACAGGTTGACCAGTTATTCTTGAAGTTTCAAGGCAGTTTCTTCAGTATCTGCACCAGTGATATCGTCAAAGTAGGTTTGCGTTCTTAGTACTTGCGCTGCCTCGGGAAAGTAGTCTTTTTTTGTCGTCAGCGAGATGGTGAAGAGTCTTTATTGCCAGGTAAGGAGAGCTATTCATACCATACGTCACGGTGTTCAGCTGGTAAGTAGAGAGAGGTTGAGAGAAAGTTTCACGCCAATGGATGAGTTGAAATTTTCTATCGTCAGGATGTATTTGTAAATTAAGTTAGTGTACATTAGCAGTTTTTGTGTGATGTGAACTTTTAAGTGAGACAGATTGGCATCGCATCAGAGGGTATTATGGAAACTCGTCAGGATTACGGTTTCAGAACTAACAAATGCATAGTATAAGTAGTACAGCACCCATTGTTTTGTCATTGTTTCAGCCAGATCAAGTGGTCTCAGGGAGGATGGTGCTGGAGAGACAGAGTGGCCACTGTTTTGAGATGAGTATGTTGCTGGCCAGTTACCTCATAGCAGCTGGGTATGATGCCTATGTTGCATCTGGGTATGCTACCAAGGACTACTGCCAGAATGATCTCACTCGCACCACCTGCCATGACATACCAGACATATCTGAGGTGTGTTTGCTGCTTAGTATACAGTTATATATTGTAGGCCTACTCTCATCCAGTCCCTTATGACTAGGTGACCGAATGAGAGGTTACTGGTTTGATCTTGAGCAGGATTGACTGTAGTTTCTCTTTACCCAATTTCTCTTTGTAAAGGATTTTAATATACTATACTTTCGGACATAATGCCGACATCAGACATATTAATAGTATAGAATAATGATAAGATTTAATTGCACTATCTAAAATTGGAATTTGTCAAGAAGGGTTATAGAGTTTCCCTATGAAATGTGGAGTCCAGAGTCTGATGGATAGAAATAAAGGCCACAAGATGTTACACTGATATTATGTCATATTACAGGACTTTGAGATTGGAGGTAAAAGAAAAAATTTTCTTCAATCCATTTATGACAAAATTGGAGGTTGGAGCTAGCTATCTGATATTTTTATTGCAATGTGACTAATTAAAATTTTGTACAACAAATTTTATGGGTAAGTCAGACTGAATTGGCTAAACTGTCAAATTGACTCGCCACCTAGATTCTCCTTTAAATGTTGCAAGTATAAAGAGTATAATGGTTTCCATTTAAAATAATGGATTCAAGTTAAGTAAACCAAGGTTTCATAAGCAGAATATTGTCCATGTGAATAGAAAAAAAGAGCTTAACTCTTTATTAACCCTTATCACCTACAGAAAGCAAAGCCACCAGAAGCACCGGTGGAATGCAAGTATGCAGTCAGGGAGCCAAGGGATCTACGAAGCAAGTTCATCTTGATGATGGAACAAAGAGAGAGGGATAAAGAGGAACAGGAGAGACTTCGACTGGAGGAAGAGGAAAGGAGGAGAATTCAGGTATTGATTTAACATTTAATTTTCATTATTTACACAAATAAAAATACTTGAGTGTGAAAAAATCAATTTAAGGAGACTGGATGCTTATTATTATTCCTCATTGGTTTGAGTGAAGTATTTTTAAAAGTTGAAATTCTATACACTAATAGCTATTTACATTACAAGTGTAGTAAGAGCGTTTTTACATCACGCAGGTGAATGTTGTGCAACGAGCGAAGGCGAGTTGCATAATTCACCGAAGTGATGTAAACACGCTCTTGCGTAACGTGTAACGTACAAGATTTTACCTGACCCGACAATATTCAGGAGGTTACGAGCAATATGCTTCATTATCAATTTCACTCATCTTCTAACAGTAACGTTCATTTACAAACAAAAGCTAGGTTAGGAAAATTCTTCAAAGCATAACAATAAAATTCAAACACACAGCTGATTTCTAGCGTTGAACGTCGTTGGCTCCATAGAGGTATATTTTTTAAGTTATCCACTCAATGTTATTTAAATGGGTTTCATTACATCACCGAGTGAGTTTTTTTCAACTTTACATCACTCGAGAAGTAAGGAAGTTGTATACATCACGCTTGGGATAGGGAAGTTTAACATGGCGGGTTAGGTAAACAATATTAAATCACATGTATATTCATCTTAACAAGTCTATTTATTTTGTAAGTGTACTTACATGCTGAGTGATCTGAAATTATTTGTGCAAAATCAATTCTTAATCATAAAAAATATCTATCAATGCAGTTTTGTTGTGTTCAGTGCTCACATTTTCTTTCTTTTAAGCTGCGTAACACTGGTTTAAAAATTGTTGTTGCATACTCAAATGTAAATACAGCTTTAAAAAGTGCTGTTAGTTGTATATCTGATTTCTTGTGGAATACAAATTTCTATTATAAAAAAGAATTAACTAGTGTTCTTTCAATTCTCGTAAACTTTTGTTTACTTGTCTAAACCTGCCTTTAATTTTCACCAAATGTGTACATACATAAGCTGTTAATTCTTTGTTGTTTTTGTGCAGTCTGGGCGGTTCTGTATAGAAGTCATACAGTTAAGGTTTAGGACGTGTTGTTCAAACACTCTGGTAAAGTTTTTATTCTTTACACTGCTCTAAAGCCATGTCTAATGCTCAGGAGCTGGAGAAGCCCCCTCATGACCCACTCTACTGGTGGGGTATCCATGGCTGGGTGGTGGTGTTGCCAGGCAAGAGAGAGGTCCAGGACGTATTGTTTATACACCCAGGGTCCGGGGTGTCCTCTGGACCTCAGGACAACCACTATCTGGGCATAGAGAGTCTCTGGAACCACCGCAACTACTGGGTCAACATCCAGAACTGTAACTCCTGTCAGGTCAGCTATACTGACTATATAATAGATACTGGGACATGTGTGGCCACAAATACATATTACCATAAACACAAATAAGTTCAGATTGACATAGACCATTGATATTTTCCCAAGTCTTTCCTTAGACTAATCCTATACTCTACTACAAGCTATGCCTGTTTGTCTGTCTGTCTAATATTTACCTCAAAATCTAGCGGAAGGATTTTGACTAAATTTTGGAATTAGGGACTTATAGTAAGTATAGCCCTAAAAACGTGATTGACGACAGCCCCTACCTCAGGAAAAATCATATTTGGCTAAACAACTCATTAGAAAATTTAAAAAAAATGTTACATTGGCCTTATTGGTTGCTAAGTAATGAACAAAAATAAACAAGGAAAAAGTAAGCAAAAGACTTGTAACATAAAATGTGCTTATAACCACCCATCCACAATATACTAACAAACTACAAAATATACAGTACGGTACTAAATATATCAGTTGTAACTATTGAGCAAAGATTACACTGAAGATTACTTGATATAGGGAAAATAGAGCAAGTGTTACTTACTAAGTGTTTCGTGTTGGTGTTGTTTGAGTGCACAGGCATAAACTCAATGTTTAACTCTTAAGGGTAGAATTTACAATGTTTATGCACTTTTTTAGTTCACTTAATTTGAACAGCTGTATTCTGTTGAATTAATACTGTACTAAAGTTAATTGTTTTACAATGATCTTTATAGTAAACAATATACTCATGATTCAGACTTATCTGTATTCAGCTAATCCATCATACTAGAACATTTGAGAGAGTACGCTCATGCCGAAATTTCCCCTTTATATTGCTTAATTTACAATCGAAATAAACTATACCGAGCCATCGTTCGGTCCCCCGGTACTTTTGTGTAATGCACGATTGTTTTTTATTATTTCAGTGGTTGATTAGTTCTACAAGAAAAATTCATATCTCATTAGAACTGTTATCTAGCAATTACAAATAAAGTTTAAACATCACTAGGAATTATAAAAATTTGTAATAGGAATGCCCTATTGCTCCTTGTATTTAGATGGTATAGAATTTAATCGATTTGATACAAATAGCAACTGTCATTTTAGCTTGTTTGGATATTGTAAATATGTGGTTTCCCTGGATACTAAAATAAATACCTAGCTCATTAAAATAAAAGGGCAAACTGAATTATTAAACTCAACACTTTTAATTCAACCAACTAAAGAAGACATAGATTAAACTATTATTGTTTTTAACAACACATTTAACAATTTAACCATCTGGTATTCATCAATGAAGTATAAGATTAAAAACAGACATGTGGCAAATATTAAATTGCACTCAACACCCCACCTCAATTTAATAATTTTACATTTGACACAATTAACAAACAAAAAATTCTAATATCTTTCTCAAGAAATGAGAAACGAATGAATAGCTCGATTCCATGCTAATAGTGCCTGTTTCAAGCCATATAGCGCCTTTTGCAATTTGCAAACGGAGCCAGGTGTTCCTTCAACTCCTTCAGGAATGGACATATATATTTCCTCCTTGAAAATTTTTTCTTTTTCCCTAGTTGAGACTGGAAGGCAGTAGGAGGTGATGTACAATCAAATTCCATTTTTTCAACGCCCCTCCTCTTTGTCTCCTCTTCCAGCAGTCTGACCTTCACAAAGCTCAGAGATAAGTCCTTCATTGATAGAGTCTCTATGGCCGTGACAACGACGTCATATTCTTTGGGCATGGTCAGTAATAGGTGACAAACAATGTCAGATTCCTCAACAGTTGCTCCTGTAGAACGTAACTCTCTTATGACTTTGTCAAATTTCAGAAAGTGACGATTTAAAACGTCATTCTTCGCATCAAACTTCATTGTTAGTAACTGCTTCCTTAGTAGAAGTTGGCTAGCAATTCCTTTCCTTTCAAATGTGTTGCAGAGAGATGACCATAGTTCAAAAGCAGTAGCCTTGTCTTCAGAGGTGCCCATCCCCCCCCAAACCCAGAGGCGCAACCCCCCCCCCCCCCAAGCCAAAGGAGTAGTTCTCCCCCCCCAATTTATGCTGCCGTCTATTTAAACCTACCCTCCCCCCACCAATTTATCTGACAAGTTTCCCTTTACCTTATAAAACGAGCATTCCAATTTAGGATTTAGTAAACTTGAGGCAAAGAAAAACAAACTTGCTGATAATAAAAATTAAATGTTTAATAGGAAACGTTAACAACATTTAACAATACTTCATTAGGTATATCTAACTAATGGACGAATTAGAAGTGTTTCAATTTGCATTTCAGAATCGCTATTGTCAGCTAACATGTGCTCAGTATTGCAATAGACAACGTCTTCAAAATGTACAACAATATACTAGGTGAATTACTCTACTCCAACACAGTATTGTAACTGTACAATATATTAGGTGGCGTTAAATTTTACAGAGAAAGAATCTCAGAGAAGAATTTTAAGAAATCAAACCGCTTTAAAAATGCATTAATAATACTTTGGCAAAAAGTTTTTTTTTTTCAAAATTAAAGGCAGTCACGAAATAAGACAGACTTGTTGCTCGCCACTCCCTGGCTGTACAAACACCGCCACTCCAAACAACACACTCCAAAAACTCGATTTTACTCTACAAAAATCGCCAGGCAAAATACCCACAAAAGGTTTTTGTGACGAAGTAATCTTATAATTAATTTTGATAGCCCCAGGATTGCCTTTTATGACTAATAATGGTAGAAACGCATCTTGTCAGACTTTCTGTTTATACACAAAACACGAAACGATAACAGATAAGCCTATCAATTCACGTGAGTATATTGCCGCGGGCAGGACTGGAAGTAAACTGAATCAGGTTATGACGGAAAGACGTGGTCTCTGAATTGTCGTATGTGTTATCAAAAGCTGATATTGGACTAGTTGTAGTGACGGAGGAGAGTGTTGAAAATATAATGGGATTCATAATTGAGTTTTCCATTTAAAATTATTGACAATAATAACCAATTTATCTTTTAGATATAAATTATGGTCTCGAAATTCTACAGTACTGCACGAAAGGAAATTTATTAAATACTTTGAGGAGTTTGAAATATATAAATACATAAAACTAGGGACAGCGCAAAATTTTTGAGTGAAAACACTCAATTAATTATGAATCCCATTATACTTTTAACACTCTTCTCAGTCACTACAATAGTCCTATATACGCTGGTGACAATGCAGACGACAATCCAGAGACCACGTCTGCCCCTCATAACCTGAACCTGATTCAGTTTACTTCCAGTTCTGACGACGGCAATATATACGCGTGAATTAATAGGCCTATCTGTAATCGATTCGTGTTTTGTGTGGTAGAGGTAAAGAACCACCAAAACATATGTAGCAAATAAAGTTCGACACTGACACTGGTATATTAAGGATTGTCTGACAAGGTGCGTTTTTACCATTCTTAGAAGCAAATCTTAATTACGAATGGCAAAATGTTGTTGGTGTTGATAGTGAGCTACTTAGAAACACTTTTTCGGGCTGCTTATACAAAATTATTCATTCATTATGACAGCTAGCAAAAAACACCCCCCCCCCCCAAAATCCCCTCAAAAAAGTCCCCCCCAAAAATTCCTGTGCCGCAAACGCGCCACAGTACCGCCCCTCTGGGCACCCCTGCTTGTCTTTTGCATATTCCAAATGGCTGTCGGCAATACGCTGTATAATCTGCGACTTGCACTTTCGATCTTGGATCTTGTTTCGCTAATTCCAACAACCTTGCTTCCTTCCTCTCTCGTTGTTCATCTGTGTCTTCTTCCAGTTATTCAACGTTGGTAGCATAAGATTCCTTTACGAAAGATAATAATTCTAATTCCTCCAGCAGAGTTTCAATTCTAAATTTCCAATTGCTAAAATTGGTTCCGTCAAACAATGGTATTCGATACTTTTCATGTTCAGTTGCCATGTTAGCAATTCATTCAATTTGATTAGCCAGGTAAAAAAAACGTAACAAATTCCGTATTTAAACAGCCCTGGGCCCATAACCTGTAAATATGTGGTTTACAGATACCCATACAGATACACATTCACTTGGTGAGATGGATAATATTGGCCAGCTCTGCTATGCAACTTACTTTGGAAGTGATAAAATACACGAAGCACATAGTGTTTTCACGGTGGTAAAGTAAATGTCAGATGAAATTAATGCATGGAAGAAATGTTTACTTCTGACATTGACAGATCGAGATATTTCAAAATATTTATTAATAATGCCTTGAATATGATAAGTTCAAGTACCGGTAGTAAGATTATACCAAATCTTGGCGGACCTTATGTTTTTATTGTTAACTTTTGTATTACTCCTCTACTTCAATTGAGAAAAAACGCAAATGGATTGTTTACTTTTAGGTTATATTGCCAGTTCCTTGGACAAGTTTTTTGACTGAATTCACCAACACAATCCAGACATTTCAAGTCGAAATAAGAAGTTTGAAAAACTCATTTGCTATTGAAAGTTTTAGTGGCAACATTAGACCAAACATAAGTGAAGGAATTAGTATTTATGTAAATGACCCAACTTAAATTACTTAACACAGGTTATCAGTAAGACAACAGTTTTCTTCAATTCTCAATGCTGGAAAAACTTTGTAGCATCATGTTAACTCGAATTGAAGCAGATCGTTTAGCATTAATTAGAAGTTAGTTATCAGTTAAAACTGAGAGCAGAAATAATGTAGGTGAACCTTGACGACGCAAATACAGATATTTAAAATTAGTTTCGAACAAGTGTTTAAACAACTCTAAGTTGTAACTAGAACTACTTGAATTTAAGCATAACGTTTTCCTCGGCATTATGTTTCATACTATGCGGCTCATTGAGCCGCACGGGTTCTCTAGTTAAAATAAAAGGGCAAACTGAATTATTAAACTCAACACTTTTAATTCAACCAACTAAAGAAGACATAGATTAAACTATTATTGTTTTTAACAACACATTTAACAATTTAACCATCTGGTATTCATCAATGAAGTATAACA